ACGGGAGCTGGAAGTAAGGCCGACGTTGGACCATCGACGGTGGACTTGCCCCTTGCACCACAAGGGCCATCTGTCGTCTTTGACTGGCCTTAGAAATGAACTCTCACAAATGGTACGGTTCTGGCTTACCTTTAGCGATCCTATTCCTAGTCTTGCAACTTCTTGGGTCTGCCACCCATCAGCCCCTGCCAGCAGACTTACCTTCTCCTCCAGCGACAGCTGTGAGAGTAAGAATCCAACATCGCAGGCGATCATGGTTGATCCCGGGTCTGAGCAGTACTGTTGAGGACGAGGTTTCGAAGAGTGCGGCCGCTAGGACGAGGCAGACGTCAATGGGGATGGTAGTATGAATGTCTTTTATCTTCAACTTTTATTATTCTGGAGGACTAGACCAGGGGCTAGGACATGTCGCCTATTCTTCCTTGGTCCGGACCCAGGCAAGCACGGAGTTCCACATCCTGAAAAACTGTGATCACCACCCGGAAGCATCCCGCATTCGCTCTTTCCTAGTAACTAGTAGTTCCAGAGGGACGGCGGAGCTCTAACTTGTCGTTCGCTCGCTCTGGCTTACTTTATTTGCAGAAGGTTTAAAGTGACACAAGATAGAGCGTATGACTCCTTATCGAGGATTTTACCGTACCTAGGTTTCCCGCCTTACGTAGCCTAGTAGTTGTTGCAAATCGGGGAGAATTCGCTGATGCATGCCTATTTCGCAGACGGCTATGTGTTGTTTTGCCCGAAGATTGCCGAATACCTAGTTTATGGCTTGCTCGCCGTTGCTTACTTTATTGGCAGAAGGTTTATTGTGTAAAGTGACACGAGATAGAGCGCATAACTTCACCGAGGATTTCACCGTAGTTTCCCCGCCTTACGTAACCTAGTAGTTGTTCCAAATCAGGGCGAGAATTCGCTGATGCATGCCTTTTTCGTGGACGGCTATCTGTTGTTTTGCCCGGAGACTGACCATGCCCGCGGGAGTGGAGTTGGCGTTAGCTGGGGATTCTATAAATGAATCCAAGAGAGCCACGAGGATTTGAATGTCTGACATTGTTACTCCATTATTCTCTGTCTCTTCCTGGCTCAGGCCAATCCATCCATTACCATGGCTCACGACGGTGGGAAGGGGAGGTTTATCCTCTTCACATGTGCCTTCATAGCAATCATGAACTCTACTACTCTGGGTTATGATTCTTCGATGATGGTATGTGTCATTTCCGCCTTGAATGAATATGCCGTACAACAGAGCTGATCACATTTCCCCATCAGAATGGACTTCAAATCTTGCCCGCGTACGCCGA